TACTGACACAAACACCTGTAAGATGACACGTCAATGAACTGAACAAACATCCAGCTGAAGAATCTGTTTTTTTTATTCTCCTGTCAAACTGCTGACTGAAAAATGTTGTGAATTCATTTTCGCGGCAGCCTGTGAACTTTAATTTGACCTTTAAGTTTCGGCAGACGGAAGATGACTGAGGTCCTGCAGGTCAGGAGACAGACTGTGAGGGACTCAACAAGTCCTGCACCAATCAGGCCTGAAGACTGAACACACGGGCTGAATGGTGGGAATATTTATCAGAGGTCAGAGGTCAGCAGGTCTCCTGCAGCTGGTCTGAGAGACTCTGTGTTTGTATCACAACACATTCTACAGTAACATTAATATTGACTCTACTGATCAACAAATACTTTCCAAACACTGTCCATATATTCATGTTGTTCTTTCACAGCTGCACGAATCTGCTGTAATTTTATTGTTCTCTCCTTAACTAATCCACCTTTCAAAGTAACTAAATTTAGGTTTAAATCTGTAGTTTACAGTCTGATCAAGACAGATATTTAATGTGCACAGTTTCACAGCCCAAACCTCCCCCAGTCACATCCTGCTACACACGAAAAAGACAGTGTTTGCCTAAAATGGTTCATTTAAAACATTTGCTTCAGTCATGTGTCCCCACAGAGACTTGAACCTGCAGCTGGTTACCTAGCAACAAGACGCAGACAAGACCCAGACATCAGATTCCCACTGAGACAACATGAAGGAACTGGAATCATGCAGACGAGTCTAACCTGCAAACAGCTGCCACATTTCTCATTATGATTTCATTATTAGCATTATCATATTACTGATAGTGTTATTAAGCTGGGGGCGGCAAGTCCCTGTTCAAGTCCCCATCCGGACCAAAAATATGGAGCGTGGACTGGTAGCTGTAGAGGTGCCAGTTCACCTCCTGGGCACTGCCGAGGTGCCCCTGAGCAAGGCACCAAACCCCCCAACCGCTCAGAGCGCCTGTCATGGACAGCCCACTCTGACATCTCTCCACTTAGTGCATGTATAGGTCCTGTTTGTGCATGTGTGTGTTTGGACCTGTGTGTAATTGACAACAGAGTGAAAAATTGAATTTCCCCTCAGGGATTAATAAAGTATATAAAAAAATTAAATTAAAAAATTAAATTAAATTAAGCTCACAGGTTTTCTGTAATTTTAACATTCCAGTTAGAATCTGTCCGTCTTGTAGATTGATCAATTGATTTTACTCAAAAGGATAAAGTACAGTACACAACAGAGCTGGGTCGATTTCTGGTTTTGCCAGTCCAGTCTGGTGTTTGAATTTAAACTGGTTTGATCTGATGCAAACTGGCTGAATCCCGTTTGTCATTATGATACTTTCATTAAAAGTAGCCTAGATCGTCGACCTGTGCTGAAGGCGTTACCGAGCTAACTCCAACTCATAAAGCATTTGTGATAAGCAATATGATAATGTGATTAACATATATATTACGTTTAGAAACAGACTTAGGGAGCCACCAGAGTCCAACAGGCCATGTGCAGTTTACACTGTGTCCTAACCGGATGTGATGTGAGCGACGCGGCGCGCTGTTTTGGGCTGAACATTTGTTGGACCCTTGTTGTATTTTTATTCTATTGCTTACATTGGTAAGGCAGCAATGGACGAGGAACGGCTGATTCATGAAGATTCAATGATGAATTATCTGCAGGATACCTCTTATTGCACTACAAAAACCTAAATAGGTTGGCAGCTGGCTGGAGGGAGATCGTCAGGACGATGAACATTTCTTGTAAGAACTGTTTGAGATGCTAGTGTGTTTTACAAAGTGGAGATATCTCTAAGTTACTATAAAAAACTCATCCATCTTTTCAGTGGTTACTCTGAGACCACGGCTGCTGGGTGAAGTGGTTTGTTTACATAACGTGACAGAGTTCCATATTTAAAGGATTCAGTGTGGAAAGAGGGCATCTGATGTAGCGTGATGTGACTTGACACTGTGGCGCTCACATTCAGTTATGACAGAGCGTTACTGCCGAGCTGAGCCCAGGCCAGCAACATGAGGAAGGTCAAATTTCAGTAGAGGTGGGAGGAAGGACAAGTGATGCATGTTGTTTGTTTGATAGACACTTTATGTGTTTTTTGAGATGATGAGAGGAGACATGACAGTTGGCCTCTGAAGGTAACTGAAACTGCACTAATATGGCAACATTTTAGATTTGAAGCCAATGAAAGGTGTCCTGACTGGCTGCAGGTGGGGCAGTGCGCCATTTATAGCTGAACTTTAAACGGACACCCTGCTTCTGTTTATTCCTGTCGCTCTCGTCAGTTTTAGGTGTGAGAAAGAATAGTATCAGTGACACTGTTAACACTGTGCTACATTACAGAGAAATACAAAACCGTACTAATGAACCTTCATTAAAGGGAAATTTGGGTTTATTTCAACCTGTCTCCTATCGTCCTAAATTTGTTTCAAGCGACTAGTGACATAAAAATAATAGTTAGCATGTTAGCCGTTAGCCTAGATACAGCCGGGGCGCATAGTAGCGTCAGACCTGTTAAAACGTAAGTGAACAGGCATCCTTTCAAGTGCAAAGTTAGTCCACTAAACAAGCTTTTTCTCCACAAAGACCGCCTCATATCGTTAGGATAAATGTCAGAGAACATATAGAAAACGACATGTAAACGTGTTGTCTTACCTTACCGGTGTGCTGCCATGTTTGTTTACCATCTAACTCTGCTTTCCAAAGCGCGGCCGAAATATATCTGGCGAGCTCTAGATAAAGCCCAGCTGGATACTACTCCAGGTGGAGGTGTCTCGTCCTCGGTCACATCCAGACCTTGAAAATAAGGCTGCAGCCGGTCCCATTCCTTGCAGCAGAGGCATTCCTCTTCTGTGGGCACTGGGGCACAGCATTCACAGGTACACCACCAATCTCCAGAGCTACGCAGCCTTGCAGCAGCCATTCCTCCTCTCTCGTCCTCTACCTGTTGCACCTCTCTCTCTCTCCTCCTCCGTTCTTCAATTTCACGAAGCTCTTCGTCAGTGTATTCTGGCTCAAATAAATAAGGGCGGCCATCAAACTCTGCAAAATCAAATTCCTCCTTCACAAAGTCAAAGTCTGGCAAAAAGTCAGCCATTATTCTATAAATCTTTCATAAAATAAATGAATGAACCTTTCAAGCTACTGTCCGGTTCTGCCTTCCAGCTGTTGCTGCTTGTTCTCGCGAGATTTCAGGCACGGTATGAGATTGCTGCTTGTTCTCGCTAAATGGTAAACAACAAACATGGCAGCACACCAGTAAGGTAAGACAACACGTTTACATGTCGTTTTCTATATGTTCTCTGACATTTATCCTAACGATATGAGGCGGTCTTTGTGGAAAAAAAGCTTGTTTAGTGGACTAACTTTGCACTTGAAGGTTGCCCATTCACTTACGTTTTAACAGGTCTGACGCTACTATGTGCCCCGGCTGTATCTAGGCTAACGGCTAACATGCTAACTATTATTTCTATGTCACTAGTGACTTGAAACAAATTTAGGACGATAGGAGACAGGTTGAAATAAAGCGAAATTTCCCTTTAATATAGGCCTATATTTTATCTCCAAGTGCACGTCACACACTGAGCGAGCCGCCTGTTAATGACGCTGTGGGCTAATGGGCATGTAGCTACTTCCATGTTTCACATGATACGTCATGTTTGTAGTCGACCAATGAAGATGAGTTTACATATCACCTTGGGTTCGTCCTTCACCTTCTCAAAATGATCCCACACTTTGGATTTCCTGCCCGACATGTTATTAACTAGCCTGTGGAATAACCGCAGGTACCAGCCCTGGAAATTAACCTGACTCCTGTCTGACTGCTGAGCGTGGACACTTCCTGTGGCTCTCCTTTCACATTAAAGTCACACATGCTCCAGTCATATAGGCTTGGATTCACTGTGACAAGGTGCAGCTCCTGATAGAGTTTTAAGTTTGTTTATTGTTTCTTTTTTTTCTGCTACTAAGCGACCAATGAAATCTTGCCAACTAATAATAATAATGTTTGGTGGACTATCAGGGGGCGGCCCTATGTGCTGCTATTAGGGTGTTATCATTATTAACTTAGTGTGGTGTGATGGTTGTTTAAAAAGCTGAAAGATCCCAACCAGCATGTTGTAAGACATAAAAAAATCATTTTCATTTTGTTGTTTGTAATCTGTCATTGTGTCTTTGGGGTACCACTGTTCAGTCTTGTTGTCTACTTACTTTAAGTTGATTGCAGTTGTGTGTAGCTCTATTGCCCAAGCAGAGTCTTCCCTTGGGGACATTTTGGGTACATCTTATCTTGTGATACTAATTTGTGTCTCACATATTTTTTCCTCAGAGGCAGAAGAAGGATTATAACTCAGATCATTTTTCATTTATTGTCCTGTCTTCCTGCGTAGCTTCTTCTGACTCACTGTAAACCTAAAAACTTGTGTTCAGGGTGAGTTCAGTCCCACTACACGCCACTTTCTTCCTCATTTTACAATCTTCATCTTCAGTCCAAGTGCATGTCAGTGCTCCTACTGTACATGGATACACTGGATGGTGCTCACTGTGTAGATCCACTGACCATCTAATTACTGAGCAGCAGTGTGCTGAGACACTGAGACCTTCATGATGTTCTGCAGAGTCTGCTGCTAATGAGGCTGCTTGCCCGTCAAAATTCACCTCATGATCCGAGTTAAATTCATTTTTAATCAGAGTTGTAAAAGTACAAGAAATGTCAGGTCTAATAAGGAGGCAGAGGGTCTGAAGGTCAACAAGGTGCAAAAGAAAAGGAGGACAAAATAAACGTACTGATTTTATATTTGTTGAGAAGTTTTTTTTCTTCATATGTTTTAAGACAGTCAAAGTTTCCCTTCAGCGGTATCTAGTGGACATTTGAGGAACTACAGCAGCATTCTTCATCATTAAGCCCTGGAGTTAGTCGCTCTACACGTGAGTATTCAGTGTGTAAATGTTTCCCTCTGGTGGCTCACCTGGCAGGCATTGTACAGCAGCTGGTGCTCGAACTTGCGGATGCCGAGGATCTGCTGGAACATCTCGTACAGCTGCTCTTTGCTGAGGATGAGCTCTGACACAGCGCTGAGGTGCGCCCGCTGTGGCTGACGACGCATGTCCTCGTCCCCCCTGTAGATGGCATCGTACTTGGCGATCCAGGAGCTCAGCACCGTCTCTTTGCTCAGGCCGTCGATCTCCGGGAGGCTGCGGACGCGCCGCTCGATGTTCTTCTTGAAGACCTCGCGGAAGTCGTTGGCCGAGCAGCAGCCGCTCTGAACCATCCGGGACACGCGCTCGCTCTTCAGGAAGCCCTGCCAAGAAGAGAGATGCAGAACAATAAACACTTCAGAATGACAACACAAATGTTAGTGATTTGTTTCGCCTATATTTACTCTGGGTCGACCAGGACACCAGACGGATCTTCCCAACACTTCCAGCAACTAGTTTGATGATTGCTAAAATAATTTAATTTTTTTCTGAGGGGAAAAAAAATCCAAATTCTCTGATTCTAGCTTGTGAAAATTTTCCAGTGTCTTTCCTCCTCTCTAGTGAACTGAATACATTTGGGTTGTTGACAAAAAGACATTTGAAGAAGTCATCTTGGGCTTTAAGAAACACTGATCATCACCATTCTCCATTTTCTGACATTTTATGGACCAAGTAACTCATAGATTGATCCAGAAAACATATTTTCTGAGACGGTTATTGGACAGTGAAAATCTCATACTGTTGCAACCCTGAATCCGTATCCCTATAAATTACAACTTGTGCTGCTATAATGCTGTGTGAATTATTTACCCCCAAAATCAAAAGTGTCTTCAGTTATTTTTAGGACGTCCTCCCTGATCAAACAGTGAGAGCCTCCTCTTTAGATGTTTTATGAATACATCCTAAACCTGAGACGGGATGGAGCTCAACTCAAAAGGAATATAAGTTACTATCAAGTTCCAAACCCCGACTGGCTTTATGCTTAATTTACACACTGCTATAACGGAAACAGTGGCTTCCAATTCCTTTTATTTAGATTTGAGCACTTCTAGGAAAAATACTCAAAGATAGAAACTCTTAAGAAATTAATGGATAAATGCCATTTTTCCTCCCTCTGTTCAAACATGTGAGACTTCAATTATAAAAACACTCAGCTGTCAAAATGTCCTGTCCTCCGCCATACACTGACTCAGAGGGTCTAATGTTAAACACTCAGGTTCATTCACATTGGTGACTTCCGGCAGAAGGTCCTTATCCAGAGCGACACTCACTGAGTCTGACAGAAGAATAAGTGGCTCAGACTGAAGCAGCGGCAGCAGCTCAGTGTGACATTAAACAGTCTCTCAGCTGGCTGCTTCACCTCCTCCTGTTAGTCGCTCTGAGACTGTGAGCAGCACAACATCAGTGAGAAAATGATTCATCTAATGGAGGCCAAGAGCTCAGAGAGCAGCAGCTGAGGACAGTCTGAAGAGACAAACATGTACCAACATCAAACTACGCTAAAACATTAAGGTTTGGAAAACATTTCACATCTTCAGCCTCTTTCCTCCACTGATGTGCACAAATCCATGTCCTTGGTGTTTTTGATTCGATCAACCCAAACTCTGCTGTGCTTGGCAAACGTCAAACTTCAAAATCTACGATTTTCTTTATATAACGTTAAAAACAAACAAAAACAGATTCTGCTAAACTTTGTTAAAGTTATGTTATGTATCACCAGGTTTTACTTTCTGAGATCTGCCCAGCTGAAACCAATCAGTATTTCAAAAATACAAATAACCTATTATTTTTTTATGCAAATATGAATTTATCCAACACGTAAAATGTCTTATGAAGATCCTTAAAGGTACACTATTAAAGGTATACTAGGGATACTATAGGTAACTACGAAGAGAGAGTAAATGCACGTTTTATACCAACTCACACCACACAAAATAAAGTAAATAAAGAGAGATGTACACATCAGCATAGGCCAATTTTCACCTTGTTGACTGCCGTCTGCCTATCAGCAAATAAGATGACATTCACCGATGGCAGTAGCCCATGGTTTTCCTGTTGTGTCACATTAATTTTATGCAGGATAAAAAGCGGGGCTTGAGACTAACGGCATTCTGTTGTCCCGCATACAAGAGAAAACTTGTTTGGCATGAACAGAAATCTCTCTGCATTGTGAACAACATATCTGTGTTAAAATCTGCAGGAGAGCTAGTTAACGTTAGCTGTTAGCAGCTGCTGGCCAGAACTAACAGCTGACGGAGGTGGCATTGAGTTATATTATGATGCATTCAAGTTCTATTCAGTGAAGAGGAGTATTGGGCGAAGGTAAATTAGAACATTGTCATGATGTGTTCAAATGTGATTTGCAAAAATGTATTTTTTTGGTGAGAAACTTGAATAAATCAGCTGATTTAAGGAGACATTTGTTGATGTTTTCACAGCAATATAAAACAGATATTAGAGAGGAATAATACGATATGATATACATAATAAAAACACTTTTAAAACAGTTATTTTTCTTAAAAATGTTTTCATGCAAAAGAAGGTTATCTTAAAGGTTGTTTCATAAATGTGAATGATTGAGTTTTTCCCTAATAAATGTTTCTTTGTTTCCCTGGGGAAAAGGGGGAATACATAAATAAAACAAAATAAACAACAATCTGTATCAATATTGTTCAAATTGTTATTTTAATTATTCAACCGGGCTATCAGCTCAGAGTTTCACAATTGTTGCATTAATAAGAGTAAACAAACTAAGAGAAAACAAATAAAGAGTTTTATCAACTACAGAAAAACAAAAAAGATCCAATTATAAAGGCGCTGAGGAGATCAATCCTCTCACATCACATCAGTCTATTAAAACATTTTTTCCTCTCGCAGTGACTGGAGCAAAAAAAAAAAAAAAATAATAATCGTGTAATAATAATTTGTCAAACAGTCTGTCACCAATAGATAGGAGGTTTTACTTCTTAAAAAAATTCCTTTGTCGACTTTCAGCCAAAATGTCCTGTGAAACTTTTTGGAGCAAAACACTGAACCCTTAACTGTGGTTCACTCAGGGTAAATTCTTCAGGATCAGAGAGTTAAATACATAATGTGTAAAATGGGGAAGTTATTAAAAGAATAAAACTGTACTCAAGTTATGACCCTGTAAAAACCATGTAGCAGTCAAACACTCCTGGGAGCCATGTGCAGGTACAAGTCATGAAAGTGAAACGACCCGGCCAGACCCTCATGCAATCATTGTGGATTTATGAAGCCCGGTGGGATGAAAACACAGGTTATAATGTGGCCTTCAGCGTGCAGAGATTTTCTGTGATTATACATAATGAATAAGTTCTCCAGGGGTAAAACCACTGACAGAGTCTGCAGACATAAACAGATCAGTGAAGAAGCAAAGAGAAAGTTATCAGACATCTCATTTATTCTATGTTAGTGCTCAGAAATGAGTTATTAATCTATGATTAAATTATAATAATGCAATAATCTTTATTAAAGGAAGATAAAAATGCTAATAAAAGCTGTTTATGTATATTTCTTTAATTTTTCAAAGTCAAATGAACTTTTTTAATCTAAGTGCAGCTGCAGTAATCATTTAATAAATGATGTGTTCCTTAATTTTTTATTATTAACAACAGTTCATCTGAAGAAACTAAAACCAACAATAAACTCATCTACCAACATGTATTGTGGATGTTGCACTGACTGATGACAACTGTTGTTTATTACAAAATAAAAAGTGAGTCTGAGAGCAGCTCTGTGTCGCGCTGACACGTCCCATTTAGATGAGACAAACGACAGCAACCAGCAGCTGACCTGAGTGCTGATAAACAACCTAAATAATCAAACTATAGTTTGTTTCAAAGGCAGAGTGGTGATAAACAAGTGAAACAACAAATACTTACACCAATCAGACAAAACATTCAAACCACTGACAGGTGAAGTGAATAACTTTGATTATTTTGTTCCAGTGCATTGTTCTGCTGGGAAACCTTTGCTTCTGGCATTCATGTGGATACCACCTGACATGTTCCACCCTGTTGCAGACCAAGTACCCCCCCTCACGGCAACAGTGCTCCCCAATGGCAGTGACCCCCCAGCAGGATAATGCACCATGCCACACTGCAAACATGGCTCAGGAATGGCCCAAAAAAGACCTCAAAGTGTCAACCTGGCCTCCAAACTGAATGAGCATCTGTGGCATGTGCCATCAACCCACCTCACAACCCACTGGACTAAATGGGTCTGGTGCCAGACACTGCAGGACACTCCCAGAGATCCTGTGTCCGAGCCAAGTCCGATCCAAGGAGCCCCACCTTGGATTAGGGGTACATCTGGGGCACCAGCACATCACAAGCAAAGCAGATTGGGACCTGGGAAACTTAGAAGCCAGGTCGACACCTTGAGCTTTTTGTCACGCTCCACAGGCCATTTTGAAACAGTTTCTGTAGTGTGGCATGCTGCTTTTATCTGATGGGGGGCCACTGCCGTTGGGGAGTACTGTTGCCATGAGGTGGGGTTGACTGATCGGTGTACACTCTTGCATTCCCTTGGTGATATAGACAGACAATGGGCTATGTATATTGAGACTGGAGTTACATCCAAATAACTTAAGAACTATTTCACTGCTGGAAAAATGGTCTTTCAATAACACAGTAGAAAGACACAAATACTTTTGAAATTGGTGCAACAGAACCAGAGAAAACAGAGAAAAAGGACACTTTAGCTCAAGAGAGAGAAAACCTACAACTACCAGAATGCACTGTGCTACACAGGACCAAAAAACGCTCCCGCTGGTGGGTGATGTCATGTGAACATGTTCATTTGAAACAATGGCAGCCGGCTGGTAACAAATGATCTCATATCACAGTTAAACAGTAAAACATGTTTCTGAAAACATTTTCGCCAGCTCAACAGCAGAAGCTTGGTTTGTATTTGATCAGCGCTGCCTAGTGTCACAGTTTGACCTCCGTTTTTTCCGCCTTCATTATCACTGTTCAGGAAACAGTATGCCGCCCACTTCCTGTTCACAAACTGTCACTATTACAGCTAAACACGGCACTTCAATATGTTTCTAAAACACTGTAGGCGAGACACAGTTTGACGCACACTGACTAGTTTTGCTGCTTGATCAGATTTCGGTCTGAGTTTGAGAGAGAGGGGCGGATCTGTCTCTTGGGAAGAACTACAGCCAGAAGTACAGGCTGTAATTTGAGCAATTACATACTACCCACACTGTTTTGACACAAAGCTGGTTGAAAATCAGCCAAGTGTCCTTTTAAAGGTCCAGTGTGTAGAATTTAGGGGGAAATATTGGCAGAATGGA